CACAGGCTCCATAGGAAATGAATGGAGAGCGAGCGACGTCGCCTCCCGTGTGTCGAGCCCTTAATTCAGTGATTTAATTACCTCTTCAAGTTCTGCGGAACCTGTACAAATCAGCCACGCATTTATTTTTGTTTGTGCTTTTTATTATTTTTTTGGCGCAGTCAAAAATAAGCACAGTTGTCTCTGATAAAGCCTAAAAATTCTTGTAAGTTATTAAATTTTTGTCAGAATTCATTCAAATGCTCCCATAAACCTCACAGGAACTTTACTACCTTCTCGTGTTCCTTAATGGAAAAAAAATCAGCCACATTGAAATACATTATAAATACAAATTATCATCCTATTTTTATCAGTGATCCACTTTAATCTTAGCCCCGCTCAGATGAGCTGTCAACCCATCAGTCTGGTAAGAATGGTGACAAACTTTGACCTATTTGTTATTCTTATTATTTTCCTTCTTCCTTTATTGCACATAATGACAACACGTTGATGAGACGACGTAGTGTCACCTGGACTAAACAAATCAAGTTATATAGATGTTTGACTTGAGCACATTTTTGCAGCTCGAATCCTTTCAGTACTAACCTAAAGGTGACAAAGACTGTGTGGACAGAAAGGCTTCAGCAACTATGAAGCTCTAATTGTATCAAAAATAAATATCAGAGTAGACCAGTGTGTAGGGTAAAACTAACTTTTAATATTCCCATGGATTTTTTTTTTTTTTTTTGTTCTTTTGGTGATATGTTAGAGAAACTCACAGGTGTGCAGGCAGTCAAATACATAAACTGCTCAAACTAATGGTAACATAATCTTTTTTTGTTTGTTTGTTTATATACCAGTACATGGATTGTGGTAATGAAAGAAAATGACTGACGTCCTTTTTTGGTCTGTCAAACTTTTTGCGCATAAACTCGTGATGAGCTGTACTCCAGACATGACCACCGATCTGTGTGTTTATTTTTTGTATTTTTTTACAAACCGCTCTTCAGAAAGGTTAAGTAGTTRTTTATTTTAGGTGAAACCAGCAGGGTTTGTTTTTTAAGGAAGAGGCCGTGTTTTTCTTTGTTCTTCTTGGCGTACGTTTCCTCGCGCCTCAGACGGTCGGGGTTATCGTAACAAAAACAGGGACTACTCTCCTGCTAATGCCACGCAGTAGCTGAGTTTCAGGGGCTCTTTTGCATGCTTTGTGCCACCAGGAATGCTCCCTCTGTGCTTCCCGTTGTAAATTTCACCTGCTCGTCACACATCTGAGTGTTTCACGGCGTGATAGACATGAGAGGCACCTTTGTACGAAGGCGGCGCTGCATGAGCTGTTGTCTATTGTGTGAGGTGGTGGGAGAGGTGATTTTGAAGTGRAAAAAGAGGAAATTGTGTTGTTTTAAGTTGGTGGTAAAAGACGGCGGACACTTGCATGCCTTTTCTGAAGTAGTCTTTAAATGTTGGTTGTGGGGTGCAAACCATCAAAGAAAATTTCTAATGACATCACCGTAGGCTTCTGAAACTAGAGCCCAGAATGTGAATAAATAACTGAACTCACAGTGGTTGATTGGTTCTGGGCTGCAGGTCTAACATGGTGTTTCTCTCTTTCATGGTGTTTCTCTCCCAGGAAGGGGGGAGTCTGGTGGACTCTAGTGGGGGTCTGCGTGTCCCGCTTTATACTGCCTGGCTGGAGCTCGATCAGAAAGAGGTAACCTCTGACCTCTAGCCTAGTTCCTGGTGCTCTACCCACTCTGCCTGTCGTAGAACCTGATAACTGTACTGTAAATACTGGTTCGGGTCAGGTGTCTGGATGGTTTTCTGAGACCTGCTGTAGTTGGTGGCGTAGTTTCGGCATGTTGGTTTGGCTGCAGAGGCTTCTGTTCCTGTTGGATCAGGTTTTCTTTGATCTATCTTAAGTCATGAAATCAGTATATGAAACGCCAACTCGGGCTCATCAAAGGCATTTCATGACTTAAATATTTAGACAAAGAAACACTTTTTTTTGAGTGCTATTAATTGTAAAACTTTGTAACTATATTTATCATTTCATAGGCCCCATCTACACTTCTCCAAATATTTTTAAAAACTGTTTTTCTTCTATGTTTGCRCCTCCCATCTGTCATTTTTTTTCATTAGAAATGCTGAGTTTTTAGCTTTTCTTAGCCCAGTTACTAAAGAAGTTCTGCCTAGCTGTTTATGAAATGTATATTTTAACATACTGTTAAGGCCATTTATGTTGAAAGCTTGTAAATTATAATTTTTATTTTGTTTATTTTATATATTTATATTTTATATTATTTTTATTTTTCTATGAGCAATTGAATTATACTTAAGTTAGTTTAGAACCTAAATCTGTAATTAATTACTGTATTTGGAAATGTTGGGATGACTTCGGTAACTTTTAGACCTTCCAGCGTGGTGGAGATGATTTTTGTTTGTCAAATGTCCGKTGTGACAACGRGAGGATTTATAAAATTATTTTTTCACCACTTTTTTAAACTTGTAAGATCAGCTTAGGTTAACTCTCGTTTACATCTAAGTTATATAATTTTGGCATGGTAGCTCAGAAGGCCATGCACATACTTTAAAGTGTAATTCTTGATAAAACGACACCTAAAGATGGTGTGCCTATGTTATACGAGTTAAAATAAATCCCTATGTTGGAGGGTTATGCGAAAACATTTTAAAGATTTTGGTGAAAAATGTGGACTGGAGCTACAAAACATTTGGAAAACAATGACACAGGCAGCTACTTTGCATTTCTGCTGTAAAGACTACAACAATCTAGCTATTATTAGGCCTGTCGCGATAAGCTTTAAATCAGTTATTCGTACGATAAATTAAAGTGAGGTCATTAATTTATATTTTGGTGCCATGAGAGCCCCRTAAACAKGCACTTAGCAAGAGGTGGGCACTACCATTATATTAGTTTAAAATGCTCTCCAAACAATGTTATTATTTATCGCAATAATTTCTGAGACAATATATCATCCAGCAAAGTTTATTATCGTAACATGCCTAGCAATTAYCACGTTTTCTATCCTGTTGGATAATGTTAAGGAAAAGCTGACATTTGTATAATCAATAAAGTACAAAAACATTAGTAATATTTAAATAAAATGATTTCTCTATTAGCATTGATTACAAAGCAGTTTTTTAAGGAAATTTTCTTTATGTCGTTGCAATTTTTACATTTCTTCRCCAAAAGGTTTAGTCACACGAGTCTTTGTTGACAAGGCAGACAGGAACAGGGTTGAGACAGTAGAAGGACACAGTTTCAGTCTTTTTCCTCACCTGTCAGCTCGCATCGACTTCGTCTGAGAGCGTTTGCTCAGGTGGAGTAAACACGACTGACTCCTGGCAGGCAGGGCAGAACGTTGGCTGCCATCGGGCGTTTTTTTGACAGCAGTGATGAGCTAACGAGTCAACTCTGTCGAGGTGGGTTAACCACGCTCAGAATCAGAGATGTCTTGGGTAATGAGCGCGGACGGCTGACGTCACTAAGCTCACATGCTTCTGTTTTGATYGACAGCTAATTTAATCCACTTGTATGTTGGTTCATCGCCGAATTCAGTTAAAAAATTAACTTAGTAACAGTGATTTATATTCATTTTTTTACTTGGAACAACCATTYTTGCTAATTTAAGAGCTTATATAAGTTGGAGGAACAGTAGTACGTTTGTCATTGAAGAAAAAAAAAACAAAACGGCTTTGCTTCTTGGCCTTTCTGCCATTTTTATTGTTTTTTTTACTTTCCCCAGTTTGTTCTTCTCCTGAAGTCCTGTGGTCTAAGAACGTCTTTTCGTGTGTGACCAAAGGGAGGAGGTTTCTCACAGGTTTCTCTGATAACAGTTGAGAGAAGCCGTCTCTCGAATCTCAGGGTGACAAAGAAAAAACCTTAAGAAACCTACAGGTCATGTGCATAATTTCATTAAAAGGATTCCAAAATCAAAGTTACCCATGTTTCATGCTGASANTGAGAATACTAACTGGAATGAGGGTATTTCTCTGTCAAATCCAAATCGCATTTTGTCAAATTTTTATGATAAGTTGGAGACAATACATGAAAAATATATTTC